TGAGGATGGTGCAGGACCGGGCAATGTTCTGTTCCGTTGTACGTAAAGTCACTATGAGTTGGAACTGACTCGATGGCATCTAACAACAACAAGTTAAGTCTAGTGCTTTCTGTGAGTTCTATGAGTTGTTCTAGTGAATTATCAAACTTGAAGGAGTAATTGGAACCAACATGGCAGAAGTAAGGTGTCCCTGGGGACCCCTAAGCTTGCAGCTGGTAATCTAAAGGGGTAGTGGGAAAACCCTACATTTGTAGCCAGCAGCTCAGAAGTGAGGGTGCCGTGGAGACTCCAGGCTTGCCCTGGCATGTGAGGACTTGGGCAGAGTTGGCAGTCTAGAGAAATACTCTTTAACTTGTGAGGTGTGACCTACATCTGGGTGGTAAGAGTCAGAGGAAGAAGTGCTGTATGCGCTGCTGCTGCCATAACAGAGTGGAAGAGAAGGGAACAAAACTGAGAGTGAATTGAATTGAGCCTCATAACTTTCCTTTGAGAAAACAGAGTGACCAAAAGCTTAATCTCTGAAGTCTACAATTAATCTAAAGAAGAGAGGACAGGAGGAAAAGGAAAAAAAGAAAAGAAAAGCATATCCTAAAACTATTCATTGGAGCACTACAATCAATGAGTAGCCTCACTGTGGTCTTTAAATATCATTCCCCATTGAAAAGAACCAAGAGTCCTGAGAGAGCTGGTGATTTAGGTTTAGGACAAGAAACGTACAAAAGGAACTTGAAACACCTTAACCACCAGACAACAAGGAAGCTGTCAAAGACCACTACCAAAAAACCAAACTCACTGCAGTCGAGTCGGATCCAACTTATAGCAACCCCTCTTTGGGTTTCCAAGGCAGTATCACTAACGAGCTCTGGTGACGTAGTGCCTAAGGCACTTGACTGCTAACCAGAAGGTTGGCGGTTCAAACACACCAGCCACTCCTTGGAAGGAAGATCAGGCAATCTACTTCAGTAGAGATACTGCCTCGGAAACCCAAGGGGGGTCACTATGAGTCGGAGATGACTCAACGGCACATAACAACAACAACAATCACTATGGAAGTAGATTGCCTACTCTTCCTTCCCAGGAGTGGCTGGTGGGTTTGAACCACCTGCCTTCTGGTTAGCAGTCAAATGCCTGAGGCAATATACCACCAGAGACCACTACAGTTGTGTCAAAATTACTCAGGAGCTAACTAAAGAAGGTCTCATTGGCCCAAGGTAGAAC